ATTGGTGAGAGGAAACTCAGAAGAAAGACACGTTTTTGTGTCACTTCAGCTGTGACTGACAGCTCCAACACACAAATTACATTAGCTTCATATTAGCTGCTGTGGTCCATGTGTGAGAGGAAGGAAAGTACAGATTCTGTTACTCACGTTTGAACCCACGTGAACTAGCAAACACACTTTATCACATTGAACTGAAAGTGCAGTTTCTGACTCTCAGCCCATGTATTCATTTTGACCATGCGCACAAATATGCATGCAAAGCAAAACCTGAATCTAACGTGAACCCTAAAACAAACTCTGAACTGTCAAAAATTCCTTTTGAAGTTGAGTCCCAAATGTCTCTGCTCAAAGCTTAAACCGGTCCTTGTAGTGACAGACTTGCAAGTGAACACACACACACCCCCTGCAGGTTTCTCAGCGTCTGGAGTTACAGACTACCAACAAAGGTCCTGTTGTTGTGAATAAAAAGGGAAAGGGTGGAGCGGGGATGGAAGTCTGGGATGAAGATAAAAGAAACGGAGCACATTCTCCCTCTATCAGATTGTCCTCAGTGTAAAACTGTTGCATTTCGAGGTTATGTTTTAGTTAAAGTATAGCAAAATGGTGGAGAAGTTTATAGAGGTTATTACTCATTTTTTTTAGTTAGATAGAATATTAATATTAATACTAACATTAATCAGATAAAGCCACGTAATAAAACCATGTTGCTGTTCACAGGGGTGAAAGCCTTTAAAGTCTCCAACAACTTTTAGAAAATCACAGTTTAACTTTGTTTTTCTGCGTTTGTGAGCTCCTCTGGCACAAGTTTTAATTTTGACCTCAAAAACTACTGGTGCCATTATAGACACCGGCTCACAGCAGTTAAGGAAATACTTTTTAAGTTTGAGCTAATAAATAGGTTGTGCTGTTTTTGAGTGTCTGCATATGAACTGAGATTTCCTGTAATTAATTTAGGATGGAGTGGGAGACGTACAATTTGCAGAGCTTTGTGTCATTAAAATGAGGAAAATATGAAGATGATAAATCTGACTCGTCTTTGTTTTTCATGGTCTGCTCGGGCTTTTACATCACTGACAAAAACGATCCTTCTCCAGTACAAATACTACTTTGAACTAAACCCGTACCCACCTGCATCTAGGTCATGTGACAGTAAGCCAAAAGACACAGTGCTGTGTCATTCTGTCTGTGTTTAGTCCTTGGAGCTGAGAGACAACACAACCAGGTCAACCTGTGAAATAAATCTTTTGTCTTTGTCGTGCTTTCAATTTGGTTAACTCTGTTTTTGTTTGTTTGTTGTTGTTGTTTTACATTTTGACACCAGCAGGTTTTTTCTTCCTCATCTAATAATGTCAGAAAAGCCAAACCAATCTACATATCCCTCTACCATCGACATTATTTAGGGTTTATTTTTGTGGCTGTTGAGTACAAGTGTGTCATGTGTAGTACGTCTGACTAAAACATTTTTCTATCTGATCCTTAAGGAAACAGATGATTATCGATACTTTGACCCAAAGATGCTGCGAGGCAGTGAAAGGTATGAAAACAAAATCTCATCTGTAGCTTGGCAGAGCTCATCTTCTCGGTGGGTAAAATACACTCGAAGATGTCTCATCA